TTACCTTTTGCTTATAGAAATCATAGACAACAGTGATGAAAGTCACCTTGAGAGGTCATCTAGGCCAACCTCCTGCCCCAAAGCAGGACAGAACTTATTTAACTTGCTCATGAAAATCTCCAGTGATGGAGATTCCACACACTGCCAAGGCCACTGCCACAGCAAGCAGCTACCTGGCCTATGGCTGCTTACCGTACTGCCAATACTATATCAGATCTGGCCACAAGGAGTCCTACTGTCCAGACGTAATCTAGAGTGAGTTGGCACCCCTGACAGAGGGCCATACAATGCATCTGTCCAAGAACAAAGAATAGTATCTATTTTTCTGTGAAAAGGGAAAGATCTCCCTTTCCTATGCTGAAGTTTAAAAATCCCCAAAAGCTATTCTCTCTCATGAAGATTAAAAAAAAAATCATAAAAAAGGCAAAGCACAGTGGCAGAATTCCAATTTCTTTGTATTTAAAATACTGTTTTTGATATAGATTCACAGTTAAAAATTAAAGTTATGCAGAAGTCAGGATAGATTTCCACCTTAAATATTAACTAAATCAGAGATGTACAGCATAAGCTTTTGGGAGCCTGAGGAGCTTGCTTTCCATTCTATTTTGTCTCTGATCTGCATGAAGAAATGTAGATACAATATTTATGAATTTATCTAAACAATAGTTATTCAAAGTATTATTCTTGCAGTACTGTTTACCAAAAATGTTGTAATTACTAGAATCTCAAATTAAATTAAAAGTTTGTTTGGAATCTGCTATAAGTTTATGTTAGCATCCATATGCATTTCCTGCCTGCCTATAAATCTATCTTACATAATGTTAAGTAATTACATTTTTTCTATGGGTTAAGTGCTGAAGTAGTTTCAACATCTCCAGATAGTAACATATCTGAGATCACATCTGAATGTATCCAAGGTAGTGGACAAATAGTAATGGCTAAATACCATATTTAGCTTTGAAGTCTTCAGAGCACTAAAGGTAAATTTTTCTTTTAACTTTCTGCCTCAAAATAGGCCCCTAAGAAACCATGTTTGTGAATATAATTAATTTTAATTTACTCTTTTGTATCAACTGCCTCCTACAGTACTGGAAGCATCTCTACTTGCCAGACTATGACAGTGGAGCTCAACCTTTTAGGAGTGGTGGGTCAGATTCTTGTAACCCACCCAGCTGCACTGTAAGCCACCACTCCCCTCTAGCAGGGGAAGAGGAAGAGAGGTAGCTGCCAATATCAAAGGAAAGGGAGGGACAGAAGAAGACAGCTTCCCCCTAGATCAGCAGCATGGTGCAGGGCAGGGAAGGGAATGCACAGGGCTGAGCTGCTGATCCCACATGCCACATGCTAAATCCGGTCTGCAGGCCATGGGTTGAGCACCACTGGAGTATGATACTGAGAGGTCAAAAAACTCAAGAGCCTAAACATATAAACCAGGGAGCCCCAAGACACACATGAGATTACTCAAAAAGCATGCAAATAGAGTAGGATAAGAAAAATAAAAATCAGAGGAATGCAGAGACTTCCCTCTGATGAAAAATTAAAAGATGACAAATAGTGTGATGATGATGGTAGATGTATTGTGTAGGAAAAACATGAGGTAGGTGTTCTTAATTACCATCTGGATACAACAGCAACAATAACAAATTCAGTGAAATTAGATGGTAAATTTAAAATTTGAAACTGACACATGACGAAAACCTATTAGTTCCTTGCTGCAAGATAGTACAGCAGAGCATTTAATATTTTAATTCAGAAAAAGATTAGATATTTATATAAATGAAATTTCTTAAGATACATTATCCAAGATTAGATTTTTTTAAAAGAAAAAGATCTACAAGATATACATCATCTCCAAATGTATGGGGTTAGGGAGAAACTTTACCTAATGGACTAATATATAATAATCTGTCCACATAAAGTTCTCTTGCAACTTTTTCTGAAGCATTTGTTATTGACCATCATTAGAGAGAAGCTACCAGAACAGATGGACTCTTGAAGTGGTTCTGTACATAGTTTCTATGCTCATCTCTTCCCATGTTCACAAATAACTTTTCCATCCTATGCCAAAGAAAATCACAAGCAGCAGTAACATAACTGTGAGGGGGAAGCAGGGCACTAGCAGGAGGGGACAAAGAGAGCCACCACTGTCCCATGCATTGTCACTGCACAGGGTCCAAAACTGCCCAGCTACTTCTCTGATCATCAGCACTGCAGTCATAATCTATATCCACAGTTTATGCCTTCAGAGAAAATGATTTCCATATGTGAAAGCTGAGCTTACAAACAGTTTATGGATTTTCTATTCCATATTGCTAACCCAAGTGACAATGATGTATTTCATCTGAATTGTATACCTAAATGACCCTGAAAAATAAGCCATGTAAAAATATATATCTTCAACTAGATCATGAACAAACATATCTTAGCTAAATATTTGTAAGGCATTAGCTTAGAAGACCAGACTCAGAACATAATCAACTTTGTTTATACTGATACAACTTCACCACTGTTGGAATAAAAGGGAATGATCTGTGGTTTGATACAGTATACAACAAAACATTTGTCCCCGACTGATTCCCAGAGGAAACTGAATATATCTTTTCAACACCAGACAATGCCATGCAGAAATATTTCAAGCTAGTTCTGCATATGCTATCTATAGGAGTATATCCATGCTACTGGACACTGTGCCTAGGCTAACTCAGCTAAGAAATAAAACTTATTAGCCCAGAGCAGAGCCAGATCATAGTATCGCTGCATGCCTTTTGCTCTACAGACATACTCACTGGCCACATTCAGACAAGTGAGGGTGTGCATTTTGTGGCACCACAATCCTCTTTATGGTGCCACAAACTGCACGTATGGAACGTTAAAAGCATGCCCCATGCTGTAAATTTGCAGTGTGGGGGCAAAATTTGCTACCTGGATTTCCAGTAGCAAAAAAAAGTGCCGGGGAAAAAATTCAGCACAGAGCATGCTACAGCAGCACGCGTGAGAACAAATGGAGACTTGATCTTTCAGTGAGATGCGCTGGCTGCCAGCAAGCACATCTCTACTGCTCCATTTGTGCCTGGCTGCTCCAGCACGCCAGGAGGAACTTGGCAAGGGCAGTTTGCCCAAAGCGGAACAATTTGTCCCGCAACAAAGTGCACATGCAGGGGTGTGCATTGAGGCACAAGACACGAAGTAGTGGCACAAATGCGTGCTGCTACAATTTGTACTACTACTAGAGCATGCCCTGGCTCATCTGGATGCAGCAACTGTGTTCAAATCACAAAAATACATCCTCAAACATGGCACTATGGATTGCAAAAGCTAAAGAGACTATAAAGTTTAAAAAACTCTCTCCAGGGGACTTCTCCATCTTAAATCCTGGTCAGATTGAAAGAAGCAAGCAGAAGTAAAGTTTCATAACATTCTGATTTTCAAATATTTTCATTAAAGACTTTAAAAGACACCTACATGCCAAAGTAAACAGGCATTCTAAACATGATAATAATTACTACTACCCATAATAAACCAATGAACCTTTCATGTCAGTATTCAAAGTCATACAGAGAAGACACTGAGGAAGTTTGTACTGCTGTTGACTATCCCATATCTTTTTTTTTTTTCATATTTTTAGTTTCCAAAGCTGAGAAACTAGCACATTTTACAAGTAGCACATAAAACTGCAATCATTACTTCTTCCCATTACGCTCATTTGTGTGGCTGGTGCCTCAAAGGAAATAATGTGCTACCATATGATATGGTGCAATGAGTTTTAAAAACACAGAAGAAAAATAAATCTCATTAAGTAGGATGACTGAACACTGCAAATCTGGATGTTCACACAGACTTTGTAACTGTACACCAAAGGCTTCCAAACTACTATCCATGACCACAGGTAGGATACGGGCAGGCATTATATCTGTGCCAGGAAATGCCCTTTTCCTGGCACCAAAGTAAACATACAAGCATTCAACCAGTTTGTGGCAGAAAAAGCACAGTATTTCTGTCACAAACTGTTAGATCTTTCAACTAGCAACTATTCTGGAGAGCAGTGCCACATAATGGTGGTATGGCTTCATATAGCAGGATGGGGGTTCCTAACACCCCAAGTATCCCACAGTTCTTTGCTCTCCCTCCCCTTGCTCATGGGGGGTGGGGAAGGAGAGGGGAAAGAAGGGAGCGTGGTTGGTTCCCTGATAACCTGCCCTGTGGCAAGTTGTCAAGCCGTGCAGGGCCCCCTACTACTCCAGCTACTTGAATAGGTCTCAGCTGTCTCTGGGAGTCCAAGTTGGAGAGGGCAGGCTGCCAATCATCAGATTCCTTTGGGGTCAGCCCCCTACTGCCATCTGGTTCATGCCTGTGCAGCTCTCCCACAAGGAAGCTGAAATGTCTGTATGGTTCGCTTCTTACCACATTTTTTGTAGCACTGGAAATTACTGGATCTCAAATTGAAAACGTATCCATACCCTAAGTCACCTTTCCCAAAACACAATTATTAAGAGACTGTGACAATGAAGGTATTAGGGCATGGTGAAGGGAGATAATCTAGAGGGTCTTCCTCAGATGAAAAGATTGAAGAGCTCAGCAATATTGCACTGTTGAAGTTTTTACAGACAGTAAAACTAAGTCTCCTTGTTCTTAAATATGATCTTTTTATACCCTTTGCCAAAACAACACTTTTCAAAAAGTCAATAGAAGTGTTAGAAATGGGGGCTGCTGCAAAAGCAGTACTGTAAGTAGGGACCTACCCAAATTGTGATTGCACGGATTTCATGGAAATCCTTGAAAATGGCAGCCAGCCCCATGATCTGCCTGCAAAATCAGCTGGCTGCCTACTCAAGTTGGGTAGACCCCCTAACCATAAATATAAGCAAGCCAATAAATCTTCATTAAGACCCAAAACTAACAACACGCTATGAGGTTCCTACAGAAAGCCACTTTGCAGCCATAGAAAACTGCTACTCTCCATATAATTTGTCTTAGAAAGCAAAAGAATAAATAATTCTTACCTTTGTGATGAGAATTCTGTATTTCTCCAACATTGCCTGGTTGTCATGGCATCCTGCAAGCAACTGCCAAACCTCTGCCCTTAGTGCCTCTGGAACACCACTCTTAACCAATGTAGACAATCCTTTTGGTCGCACACCAAGGTTACTGTGCCTGAGAAAAATAGACCACTGTTATTTACCTCTGCTATAAGAATTTAGACACAGGCATATGGAATAAGAAAAACATGGAAGCCTTGAGTTCATGTTTTGTGCTGAAAAAGAATCATACTACAAACAGATGTTTCAACACTCATATCTGCAACTGCTTCTCATGTTAATAGCAAGGGTTCCAAAAAAGTCATAGATCAATGGTAAAAATATACCATTTAACCATAATTATTTAGATTAGTCAAGATGAGAAAGCATACTTGAGGCTGGTAAAGTGAAGAACTGCAATGAGAACTAAAAATAAGACAGAATTCAACAAGCGAAATTAATGGCAGGCAAAGGCAATGCTCTATAAGGCTCAGAATAATTTGAACTATCCATATATCCAGATGAGCTCCAAATTAGAAGTTTTCCACTAGCAATAATCATACCTGGGTTGACCTTCACTGGCTACAAAATGTAACCACTTCAGAAAAGGAATCGCCATTTTTGTTGGCAATTTAACTGTGTTTGTTCTGCGTACTAAGGAAAAGGAATCGCCATTTTGTTGGCAACTTAATTAATGTTTGTTCAATGTACAGCAGCAATAAAAAAGGAAGCACAGATGCTGAACTGTATAAAGAAAAGGATTGAGAATAATTTTGAAAATACTTCAGTGCCATTATTATGAAGGTACTACTTACAGCTACATAGTTAAGGCTGAGTTGAGTTGTACATGTAAAAATGGGATTCAGTTTCTGTTATGCATGGATTCCACAATTTACTGGACCACCGAATTTTCTTCTATGTATTTAGAAGTAGATCTGTTTATTATGATCTTAAATGAATAAGCACTTTAAAGAAATATAGTATTCTTCATCACAATATGTTTTTCAACTGCTTTTGTACCTAGGTCAGTGGAAAGGGCACATGAGGAACTGGGAAATGTATTTTAAAAAATAACAAATAATTAAACTTGTGGACCTTATAAACAAATTATTATTGAGGATTTTAGAAGGATAACATGAATAAGGATATGCAATACCTAGAAATACACTAAATTGGTTAGAGGCAGAAAACACATCTAAAAAGCTAGAATGAAATTACTCCTATAAGCCTAATATTGTGTAATTTTCAATTATGGAGGTTTTAGAACCTCTGAAAAATTCTGTGGTATCCACTTTCAGAGACAGAATCATTTTGATTTAGCAGGGCAATATCTTTGAGCAATGCTGTGAGAAGGCAAAGTTTGAATCAATTTTTTGGCCTGTCTTCATTAGAAAGTGTTAGCAGAAATTTTGCTTCGTTACTACCACCATTTTTCAGCTCCACTGGTCGTAGCACCAGTTTAGAAATAAATGCTAGCAACCTGCTGAGAATCAATTAACATGTCATTTTAACACAGGCTTATGTTAAGGTTAAATGCAATGACTATTGCTTTAAGCTAACCAACAAATATATATATAGGAACTGCTGCTACTATCCCAAGCTTAACTTTTTTGAGCATGACTCCAAATAAGCCAGTCATTCCTACACTCAGCTAAATTAGTTTTTCCTACAATGGTTGATCATAAAAATTATATTTAAAAATGCCTATAAGCAGCTCAGTAGGATAATTATTATGGAATTTGAAAAGCCTTGTTTTGGGACAGACCACTTCAACTCCATTGTCCAGTTCGCCAAATGAAAAGGATACTGTCTCCTTTCCTCTCTGTTAGTATGTTTCATGGGAATGGGGGGTTGTTTTTAACAAAATGTTGATAGTAAACATGCTATGAAGAGAAACCACTAGTAAACAGAAATATTTTAAAGACTAGATACCCTAAGTGTCTTCAGAATTTTAAGAAAAGGTTCTTCAGGAGGAAATGAAAAATCAAACTGAACTGTCAACTCAACTGCAGAGTAGGACTTTTGAAGTGATAGGAGCCCAAGAACGGTGGCTGTGCCTTAAGGAAACGATCCTTCGGGCACAAAGCAAGACGATCCCCGTGCGAGGCAAAAGAGGGAAAGGGGCCAGGAGGCTTCCCTGGCTGACCAGAGAAATCCAGGGCAGCCTAAGGGCCAAAAGGGGAGCACATAAAAAGTGGAAACAGGGAGAGATCACCAAAGACAAATATACCTCCTCTACTCGTGCTTGTAGGGAGGCAGTTAGACGGGCCAAAGCTACCATGGAGCTGAGGATGGCATCCCAAGTAAAAGACAACAAGAAATTGTTTTTTAGATAT